AATACTCAGTCTTCATATCTCTCTATTTCTATCTCTCTCCTCCTTCCTCACTTCTTGGTGATCCTGTCCTGGTGATACCCTGGACTCCAAATGCTATCTTCAGCCCAGACCCCTCCTAGAACTACAGATTTATAATTCCAACTGTCTACTATACTAGCTGGATGTCTACCAGGCCCCTCTTCAAAGTGAGCTGTTGATATTTTCCCACAAATCTGCTATTCCTAACATCTTCTCCAGCCAGTGAATGGCACCTCTCTGCTATTTAATTAGGTCAAATCCAGGATTTATCCTTAATTCTTCGATTTCTCTATCTGAAATTCTGTCAGTTCTAGATATATTCCAAAACATATCTAGAATTCAACCTTTTGTCACCACCTCTACCTCCACCATTGCCCTGGTCCAAGCCATTGTGTCTCTTATCTGGATTATTGCACAGTTTTGTAAGTGGTTCTTCTGGTTCTGGACAAAGTAATCTACTTTCATCAGAGAGACAAAAGTGATTCTTTTAAAACTTAAGAAGGATCAGGTCCTATCTCTGCAACAATCAAAGTCCCTCTTTGTGTCTATAGACCTAAGTGATCTGCAATAAGTCTCACCCCTGGTCATTTACTCTGTAATCCATCTTCTGCTACTCCCAACTTTGCACATCTCACCCCATCTCCACTGACCTCCCTGTCCTCAGACAGAAGGTCCCACTCTTCCCTACAACACTCTAGGCATACTCCTGCCCCAAGTCCTTCACACTCATTTTTCCTTTTCTTCCAATGATCCATATGGCTTGATTCCTCATCAACTAGGCCTTCAATGTCTTGTCAGTGAGCACTTCCCTGAGTGCTCTATTTTAAAATTTCACCTGACTCTATTTCTCTTCTCTGCTTTACTTTTTCTCTACAGTAGTTACCTCACCTAAAAAGCAAAGTTATTTCCTATTATAATGTAAGCTCTTATGGAGGAAGACATGTTCTCTTTTCTTTTTTGTGGTGTTGAGGATTGAACCCAGGGTCTATTTAATGAAGTAAATGAATGTAGCATGTTCACATTTAAACAGAGAACTCAGAGATGTGAAGTCTAAACCTAAAGGATGACTCTTGGGCTGGGCATGTGGCTTAAGAGGTAGAGTACCTCCCCACCAAAGGAAGACTTCCTAAAACATGGATGCGATCTACATCCTTGCAAGTTTTCCATTTGCTGTAGAATAAAGCAAAATCCCCTTGGCATGATATTCTAGGCCTTTCACTATCGGGCACTGTCCTCCCTTTATAGTTTTGTCTCTTGCTGCTCCGCCTAACACATTTTATATTCTAGCCCATGGTACACCCTTGGGCTTCTATTCTTGTTGGTTCCTCTTCCTGGAATACTCTTTTCTCCATTTTTTTTTTAAATGTTGGAGAGTTCTTATTACTATTTAAACAACAACAAAAAAGGCTGGGGTGTAGTTCAGAGGCACAGTGCTTACCTAGCATGCAAGCCCATCCCCAGCATGGCCAAAAAAAAAAAAGCAAGTGTTTTTTATATATATACATATATATATATATATATATATATATATATATATATATATATATGTATATATATAAAATACATACTATATGATCTATAGATGAGATTATATGTCATCTCATTTAGGTCTCAAGAAAATGAAATACCTTACCCAAGTTAAAGCAGCCAGGGAATGACTAATGCAGGATGTGATGTGAAGTCAGTTCTGAGGTTAAAGTTCATATCTAACAATATTAGGGAAGTTTCCTTTGACTCCTCATCATAATTGCTTTCCCTTTGTGTCCCAAAAGCAGGTTTTTAAGTTCACTACATAGAAGCAGTTATATTATAGAGGTTAAACACCGACCCTGAAGCTGGATTTCTGGAGCTTGCCTGCCAGCTGTGTGACCTTGTTACTGCACCCCCCCACACTTTTTCAGTGTTGGGGAATAAATATGCCTCAAATGTGTCTTGGTCTTTTTAGCTTTGAACTGGGAATAGAAGTACCTATTTTATAGGACTATCACGTGGATTAAACGAGGCCACCGACGTAATTCAGCACAATACATACTACATAGCCATGGCCGTATGGACACATCCTGGTGCTGGATTTTGGACTCTGGGACGGAAAGCGATTCTCCTTCATTCATCTCCCAATTCTCCAACACATCACAGCAGACCTTGTGGTGGCCTGCAGGCTCCATAAATGTTTGTCAAATTAAGTTAATAAATCTGTGGGTGTTTGTGCCATACAGTGAGACAATTACATGCTCATGATCTGTGTTGTGTCTTAATTACCTGTGATTCTTTAAAACAAAATGGTTATTGAGTCAGTCCAGCCATCCAATAGCTTCTGCCCTGTTTTTAAAAGCCAGTCCATTGCCATTCTGTGACTGCAAACAGGGTGCCTTTTTACCTTCAAACCTTTCCCAAATTTCCTTATTTAAGAGCCAAGAATTTCCAGGGGAGGGGTGGAGGAGGAAAGGGACACCTGTCATAAGGTCCCAGACACAGATGGAGGTATTCTGCTGCAGGTAAACACAAAACCAGCCCTCTGCCCTATTGTTCCCCTCCTGTGAGCAGTGACTCAGTCTAGAGCTTTGGGTTTCACTCCCAACCACAGGCACAGTGTACCTGGGAAGGAAGAAGGCTCCAGCCTGCAAGGGGCCTCAAATGCAGCGTGGGAGGCCCGAGGATTCCTAGGAGGGTGCTGGCTCAAGTTACATTCCTATTATTCCACTGTGCTGCACTTGTTTATTTACCTTTCAGCTGGTCTTACTAAGCCAGGCTGCAGGAGTGACTGGGCAGGAAGGGGATTCAAAGAGTGAAAATACTAGAAAAGGAAATACTTGATTAGACCATAATATGTCCCCTGGGGCTCCTTTTATATGGATGATTGTAAATGTGCACAGTGTAATGATGAAGCACTCCCCGGGGGAGGGGTCTCTGACAGAGTTGGAACTTTGTTTCTGATGAGTTGCAGCTGCTGCGCCTATGCAGACCAGATCAAATGGGGTCCCTTGGAGGAGTTCACTGGATCTGAGTGACTGTACCTGCCCCCAGGGCAGAGTTTTGGCTCATCGCCTTCACCCAACCTGTGCCTTCGGCTGTACCACACCTCACCTAACACCTGCAAGTTGCTTCGGCTGTTACTTGGAGCCAGCCTACCATCCTCTCTCTTGGTCACCAGGTCCTTCCTGTTCACTTTCCTTCCTACAAGTCATCTATACCTTTCTCTTCATGGCCACGGGCGCTGCCCTTGCTCAGGTCTTCTCAGATTATACCTTACGGGTCTCTCAGCCTCATGTCTTAGGCCTCCCATTTCATTCTCCTTGTTACAGTAGCTTGAAGTCAATCTGTTCCTCCGTGTGGCTCTCTGAATCAAGTGTGCTCCCCAGATCCTGGCTTGCAAGACTCTTTGGGTCTGGCCTTGCATGTCTTTGTTGTGTCTTTTCACCTCCATATCATCACTAACCCTGATCTACACACCATCCAAGAACATGCAGTATTTGCTCTCAAACTTTGCAGCTCCTCTTTCTGCCCATAATCTCTCCCTTTCCCCTTGGTTTCTTTTCTCCCTTCTTCCCCCTCAGTGGATTATCCATCACCTAAGCCCCAATGCCTGTTTTGTAGCATTTATCACAAACTGCATTGAATTTCAATGAACTCCTTCCTAGTGCCTAGCTTTGGCAGATACTACTAGCTCAATAAATGTTCAATAATGAAAGGACTTAACCGTCATATTAGGGTTCAATTATAGTTCAGGGAAGAGGCCTTGAAATATTTGGCTCTGAAAGTAGGAAATACAGCAGCTACTGCAATTATGTTGTTAGATGGGTAGAATTTCACTTGATGAAAGGATTGTCAAATTTCATGTTTCTTTAAGCTAAACTGATTAAAGCCTACTTTAAAGGCCAGTTTAAAAGACCTCTTTTCTAGACTTGCTGAAAAATTATATTTTCCAGCTTTGTCCAACACTGAGTTCAAGAATTATATTTGGCAAGTGTTTCCAGAAACGTCAAACCTGCTGCTTAAAAATACATCATTCCACAACTATAGTTATATATGTGTGTGCGCGCGCGCGCGTATCTGTATCTACCTACCTAGAATACATAGATAACTACGGTTATCTATATATGCATATATATATATATATATATATATATATATATATGTATATATAAATTACTACTACTAGTAGTAGTAATTATGTCTATCTATCTATATATCTATTTCTATCTATCATTTATCTCTCTCTCTCACAGAAATAGTGTGAGAGGTGGGCAGGTGAACTGTGAAATGAAATCTGACTAAGGAAGGCTGAGACCAGTTCACATGGGGAACTAATTCCAGCGAAACACCCCGGGGTGACTCGAAAGAAATTGGTAACATTAACACACAGGGGTCTTCTACGCTGCGGTTTCTGCTCAACATAAAGGAAAAAGCTTTCCACACAATAACTAAAAAATGGAATGGACTCCTTGTAGGGCGCTCCAGGTGTACAGCTGAACTCAAGCCGAGGCAGGACACATGGAGGGAAAGGGTAACAAGGCCATTGGATTAAGCTCTCCTTTGATTTTTCGAACGTACATTCTTTCGAACCTATTGATATTTTCGAATCCTTTGACTCTTTGGAATCTTTTGATTTTTTTCAATTCTCGGCTCTAAGCGTTAAAGCGCAGCTGAGAAAAGCTGCAACAAAGAGTACTCAGAGAAAAGAGGGTGACAACTTAAGGGCAGAAACCATAAAGAAGAGACTGAGCGAGTAGAAAAGTGGAGCAGACATAGAAAAGGAAACAGGGAAGCTGGGGAGAGAAGGTGGAGAACCTTAGAGAAAGGAAGAGTGAGTGACCAAACTCATCCGGGACTGGAGGAGGAAAGACACGCCCAGCGGGAAAAAGCGTCCGCTTTAAGGATAGTCCCGCCCCCTAGCGTGACGCAGTAGAAGGCCGGCCCCCGATTGGCGGCGGTTGGAGGGCGGGATGGGGTTGCTAGGAGCGGACGGGATCCGGCGGGCCCCGGCCGCCCGGAGCGCGGAGCCGCAGGAGCGGAGCCGTGTTAGCGGCGCTGCTGGAAGATGGCGAGCGGCTGGGACCTACGGCGGCTCTGGCGGCTGGGACGCCTGCGGCTGCCGCTGTGCCTGCTGCTCCTGCTGCTGCTGCTGAGAAGCTCGGCCTGGGCGGCGCACATCAAGAAGGCGGAGGCGACGACGACGACGAGTGCGGGCGCCGAAGCGGCCGAGGGCCAGTTCGACCGCTACTACCACGAAGAGGAGCTGGGCAAGGCGCTGAAGGAGGCGGCGGCCGCGGGGTCCCCCGGCCTGGCGCGCCTTTTTAGCATCGGCCGCTCGGTGGAGGGCCGGCCGCTGTGGGTGTTGCGTCTCACGGCCGGCGTGGGGCAGCTGCTCCCGCCGGGAGACGTCGCGGGGCCGGACGCTGCGGGGCCGCTGCTGCCCGGCCGGCCGCAGGTGAAGCTGGTGGGCAACATGCACGGCGACGAGACTGTGTCGCGCCAGGTGCTGGTCTACCTGGCCCGCGAGCTGGCGTCTGGTTACCGCCGCGGGGACCCGCGCCTCGTCCGCCTGCTCAACACCACCGACGTCTACTTGCTGCCCAGCCTCAATCCCGATGGGTTCGAACGCGCCCGTGAGGGCGACTGCGGCCTCGGTGACGGCGGCCAGTCCGGGGTCAGCGGCCGCGACAACAGCCGCGGCCGTGACCTCAACCGCAGCTTCCCGGACCAGTTCAGTACCGGCGAGCCCCCTGCTCTGGACGAGGTACCCGAGGTGCGCGCCCTCATCGACTGGATCCGCAGGAACAAGTGGGTGTCGCCTGTCCCCTCTCCCGCATCCGCGTGAGCCTTCAAGGGCAAGAGGGCCGGGCCCGACACCCAGGAGGGGTTCAGTCACTGCTTGCCTGCCCAAGAGGTTGGGATAATGAGGGTGGAGGGTGACATCCTGTTACAAGGACAGGGCCCAGGTCGCGGGTGCCTTCTGGTTCCCGCTAATTGTCAAAGAAGCGCTGCCTAAGGGCTGTCATTTGTTCAGGGTATGGCCCGAGGGGTGACTTCTTTCTGGCATTCTCTTCCTATTCTCCCAGGACCATAGATGAGACGTTAAGGATATCCTAGGTCAGCCCACTCATCTTATAATAGTTGTCAGTGTTATTTTATTGCCAGAGGCACTGTGCTAAGCACTTTCCATCACTGCATTAGCTCACTTGATTGTTGCCTACAACTGATGACATAGACACCATTCATATCCTTGTTTCGCATAAGGGGAAATTGAGGTAATCAGACTGATTACCTAATTTACATGGTGAGGAGTGTAGCTGGGACCTAGATTCCTAGTCAGAATCTCTTTTTTTTAAATGATCATATTATTGTTGTACGTGGGGAGGGGGGTTACATTGTGACATTTACAGAAGTTCTTACAATATCTCACAGTTGAATTCACCCCCTCCATCATTCTCCTTTATCCCTCCCTAGTCAAGTGCCCTTAACAGCAGGGGAGAGAAAGCATAGCTCAGAAATGGCAAATGACACCCCAGAGTATTCCTCTTGATATTTGACAGAAACTGGTTCTCTTCCAGTCTCTTCCTTCGACTGCTGCAGAGGGCTGAAGAACTTGCTCAGAAATGAAGTGAACGGCTTCATTTCTGATGCCAGTTGTGCACCTTGTTATTGGGCCTGGGTGATATAGCTAATTGTCACATTTTAAATACACCTCGGATGTTATTAGGCATTGTGTGGAATTTTTTTAAAAAGTAGAAGCATGAGGACCTAAAGAAATTAATGTATAGCAAGGTAATGATATAAATATATATGAGATGTTTACCCAATTAAACTTTACAGGAACTATTTCCACTGGCAAGTGAGCTGCACTAATACAGACTGTCTCTGGAGGAGGTAGAACTTGAACTGAGTTTTGAGATGAGCAAAAAAGGAGAGGAACTAAATTCCTTCCTTTTTCAAGCTCAGCCTTGTCAACTTATTCCCCTTATTGCATCTTCCTAAGGCTTTTGAAGCAGTAGTTAATCTTTCATATTGATTTGGAGATTTTTGAGTGGCAGGGTAATGAACAAAGAAGTTTCTTTGTGGGCTGTGGAATCATTTTTTTAAAGATTTTGCTCATATATATGTATATATACACATATGTGTTAGATCTACAAAATTCATGGGCATTATGATACTTCCAGATTGTTTTTGTCTTCTGCCTTTCACTTTACTGTCCTTTACATGATCCTTTGTAGATATTTAATTTCATGTACTCTTTCTAGGAAGATCAATTTTTTTTTTAAAGAGGATCATGTCATGGTCTCTGAACATCTGCATAAATTTGACTTTCATGTAACACTGATAGTCAGAAGCTGTGATGATCCTTTTTTGAGATGCACTTTCCATTGCTTAAAATGTCCTATCACAATCCTTGCAGGGATTTTGCTCTTCAGTATTAGTTCTGCTGTGGCCAAAAAATGAAAATTTTATTTTGGTGTCAGTTATTTTGAGGCTTATACTGAAAGCCTTATACCTTAAATCTGGAACCAGAAATTCACGTCTGCTTAACACTTTCATATCAGTAGTATTTAATGATGGTGTTAATTCAATAATGGAAACTTGTGAAGATTTTAAAAGCGCATGTGGGTCAGTTGGGATTACAGAGTCATTTTGTTTTATGGTAATAGGATACCTAATCATATCCAACCATTGTTTTAGGCTTTAACCAGAAAGGAAAGTAAGTGATAACATGGAGTAAAGAGTACAGCCATCCGTATTCTCAGCCTTCAGAAATTAACTCACAAGCATATTCTGTAACGATTAATCAATAATTGCTATGTAAATAAAACTAAAAACACAAATGCACACACAATTTGAGATTGATGACTAAATACAGATTATGTACAGGGTATTAGAAAAACTCAAACATTAGTCTGTATTAGAAAACTTTTTCAGTGTATTTTGTAAAGTAAATCATTTGAGTTTTTTTTTTTTTTTTGGTTAGGTTTTGTTTTTTTTGAGATAGGCTCTTGCTATGTAATCTAAGATGGCCACGAACTCACCATCTGCCTGCCTCTGTCTCTCAAGTGCTGGGATTAATAGGCATGCACCTTTACACCCAGTTTGAGTAATTTCTTGATATCCTGTTCACCCAGCTATATATTAGGGATAGATTTTTGCTGGATATATAGTTCAGTGGTAGCGTGCTTGCTTAGCAGTTCCAGGCCATATTCTATCCGCAGTACTAAAGAGAAAAAAAGGAAAAGAAATACATCTTTGTTATTTTGAATATTTAAATTTTAAGACTTACATCCTCTGGTTTATGGAGATTTAACCTCAGGGTTTGGCAAGCACTCTACCACTAAGCTGTACCAATTTTTTGGTATATTTGTGAAGAGCATTATCATAGTGTTGGGTGTAGGTGCATATTATTTTTGAGGGCTAGTGTATATTTAATCTACAATTTCCTGAATCTTTGTAGTGTTTCAGACATCAAGTTTTAAGTTATCTATAAGGCTATCTGGAGAACATTTTAGAGATTGATTTTTAAATATTTATAGCAAGTACTTTAAATTTTATGCAAGGAATGATATATGATATGGAATAACAGTATCAGAAACACCTGAATAAAAATTAAAAAACACCTGAGAGGATTTGAATGGAAACCATAGAATACCTCTCAAATAAGATTGGAATTGATATGCAAAGTTGGTTTGACAAAACTGAAAAGAGTACTCATAGCCATTGGTGTTACTTTTCTTCTGAAATCATCCTTTAAGAGTGTAATGGTACATTAAAACTGTCATTAGAGTTGGGAAGATCTAATTGAATTTTATCACTGAAATAAATTGCAAATATTTTGCTGTTCTGAAAGTATTTGGGCAGACCATTTTAACATTTCTGAGAAGCGTTGCAAGAAATGTTGAACAAAAGGAAAAACAGCAGTTAGTAGAGAATCTTGACTTTTTTTAAGCTTTAATTTAAGAATAGATAATTAAAGTAGCATACTCTACTTAGAATATTCAGGGCTTTTTGTTGTTATTGATAATGTATTCCTAGCATCTAGAACAATGTTCAGCTCGTAGTTGATATTAAAAAAATATTTGTTGCTAAATGGATTGCCAGACTGGGCTGTCCTTCTTGTAGCTTTCCCAGTGAAGGAAAAAGTAGTGCTTAAATTATTTTAAAAATGCAAACCAGAAAGTACCTTAGCTATTGGGGAGAGGTAGTAGGGTAGACTTAGAAAGTTAGAATATTTGCCTTGTTTTTGTATCTGTATCATTCAGTCACCCAAGGGCAGGCAGTGGAAGTGGGGATAGAACATTGTATGGCAGTGTTTACCCTGCATGATGATAGATATCTCCAAAGAAGTGAACATTTGTTGAGAAAGATCTTTAATGCAGTCACGCTAGAAGATGCTTCATGCATGTTCTCCTAGTTTTTGTAACAACTCTACGATGCAGTAGCATTAATCCCTGTTTTACAGATGGGAGGGAAATTGGAGCTTATTGAATTTAGAGGCAGTAACTTCTGATCATAGTACTCTTAAGTAATACTTCTGGGAGACTGAATGTTCTTAACCATATTTGCTGGGCTTCAAAGCATGTGTTATTGCCACTACACCAAATGGCATTCTCTGGTGTCTGAAAGGGTGCTAATTACAATTGTATTAGTTTTAAACTGGTCTCTATAGTCTGTTCTAGGGTTTAATCAGACATCATTGACTAAGTTCTTCTGATTAACAGATTCTGTGTTATAAGTAATTTTCATTATTCTCCTTTGAGATGGTGCTGATCATGCTTAAAATAACCTATCAAATTAGACATATGATAGATTTAATTTTCTTTCAGGCGTATAGAGAAAAATGTTACATATCAACCTCATTTAGAATTTCTGAGGGGAGGGTCAACCATAGAACCAAGAAAATCTAATTTAGAGTGCAAAGAGAAAAGTACTTAATCTCTATTTGTAATGGTTTGAACTGTTATGTAAGAGAAAGATGCATAAATAGAATGGCTTTACCTTTAGTTTTCTGTAAATTTGACCAGATTATAAATTGGTTCATTTAAAGTAGAAACATAGGGTTGGAGATGTAGCTCAGTAGTAGATAGTGTGGCCTTAAGTTTGATTTTTCATTGGCTCACACACTGAAAGCTGGAATCACTTAAAATATTTTTAATAGAAGCAGCTCTGTCTCCATGTCAGTTTATTTTTTAATGGTCCAGAAACCTTGGTGCAGCAGAGACTAATGCTTTGGTATGCTGTATTGTTTTTCTCTGAAAGCAGCTCACTATATCAGGTTACTTTTTGTTTATCCTGAATCTTCTCAACTGTGGCATCTTTCTTGAAAATGTGAATTTAGTATAGGTATTTTGTGAAACTGGAGTGAGACAAGAAACGGTGTTTTTTTTTTTTTTTCTCGGTAATGGGGTTTGAACTCAGGGCCTTGTACTTGCTATGTAGGTGCTCTACCACTTGGAGCCATGCCCTCAGCCCTCACACTGTGTTTGAAATTAGACTCCCCATCTACTTTAAATTTTTTCTTTGGTCAGTAAATACACAGTACATAAGTGTTATTAACCTAACTCATGTATTCAACAAATATTTATTTATACCAGTCACATTTTCCTATGAAACTGACGCATAACAAAATACATGTATTTGGTTGCACTATATGAAGTTGTCAATTTTGTAGGTAAAAAAAAAAAAAAAGGTTGAATATTGGCAAGTTCATATAGTTCAACCTAATACATGAATTTGGAATTCCTTAAGACATCTGAAACGTTTTACACATGTTATTCAGCTGTTTTCAATGATGGAAAATTCTTTAGTTACTTGTGATTAACTTGAATTGTAAAAGTTGAATTTTTTTTCAGTTCCTGGGGATTGAACCCAGGGTTTCATGTATACTATAAAAGCATTCTTGTCACAGAGATATATAGCCCCAGCCCTGACCTTTTAAATTGACACACTTTCTTTCCATTCCTTTTTTTGTTGCTGTTAGTAGTAGTCCCAGTAGTCTCCTTATAACAGCTGATAGAGTTGTCTTCTAGGTCTCTAAGAGAGATACTTGACTTCATGTGTGGGACTTGGGGATAGAGCTCAGTGGTAGAGCACTTGCCTAACATGTGCCAGTCTCTGAGTTCAACCCCAACACCACATTTAAAAAAAAAAAAAGAAAAAAAAGATGAGTTCATTTATGGAAGATGTAGAATTTTAAAACACCTGGTGTTTTCTGGGTTTTTTTGTTGTTCTTTTGTTTTTGTTTTTTTACTGATAATGTGATTTGATTGTGTTTTCAAAGGTTTGTGCTTTCTGGAAACCTGCATGGTGGCTCGGTGGTTGCAAGCTACCCTTTTGATGATTCACCAGAGCATAAGGCCACTGGAATCTATAGCAAAACCTCAGATGATGAAGTCTTTAAATACTTGGCAAAAGCTTATGCTTCAAACCACCCCATCATGAAAACTGGTGAGCCTCATTGTCCAGGAGATGAAGAAGAAACCTTCAAGGATGGGATCACAAATGGCGCACATTGGTATGATGTAGAAGGTATGTAATCACTGAATTTGCTATATTTTCCCCTTTTTCAGTTAGCTTTCTTAAGTGTATTTCAAGTAAACGAAAGGAAACTTTGCAGAATTCTAATGTAAAAAAATGTCATTGTTATTTTGAAATTTTCAAACCTACAATAAAATTAAAACAATACTTGTATACCTACCTATATATCCTTTAATTAAGTCTACCCACTCTTATCCTACACCTTATACTTTGCCTCCTTACCTCTATACATATTCACACTGTCCATACAATTATACACACAATATTTGGCAAACTATTCAAAAATAGATTGCAGAGTTCATGACACTTCACCTCTAAGTTCCTTAGTTTCCCCAAGTACAGGGACATTTTTATGTGTAACCATATACCATTACCATCACTGAGAAATCAACAGTAATTTAATACTGTCATCCACGTGCTGCTTATAACTCAGAATTTCACTGTTACCCCTTTGTAGCTCCTTTTTCTCCAGATCCAGGATCCAATCAAGGTTCAAGCATTGCACTTGACTCTTGTAAAGAGTCCATATTCTGTATTTGTCACTTTTTTCTTATTTAGATTCAGGTCCAATTTTCCAGCAAGACCACTATGTGGACCATATAACATCAGGAGACACATAAAGTCAAGCTATAATCAGATCTCCGTTTTATATATAAAGTCACGATTTCATTTTATACTTTAATCTGTGAGGGTGTTCATGGAATTCTGTATGGTTTTTTTTTTTTGGTGGCTTTATATAATTTATATGTGTGTATGTGGGTATTTTTTTCAACAGAAAATTTGCCATTTTAGCTTTTCTGGTTTTTTGTTTTTTTTTTTTTTGTGGCACTGAGAATCAAACTTCAGGGACCTTTGCAAGTTAGACAAGTGCTTTACCACTGAGCAACATCTGCAGCCCAACCATTTTAGCAATTTCTAAATGTTAAATTCAATGGCATTAATTACATATCCAAGGTGTGCATCCATTACTGCTAAAACTTTTTCATCACTCCATTCTAAAATATTTTCATCACCCCAAACAGAAACTCTGTGACATTTAAGTAATAACTCCTGTTCCCTTCTCCCTATCCCAGTGGGAACCTGTAATCTACTTCCATTTCTGTGAATTTGCCTGTTCTAGATGGTTCACATAACTGGAGTCATATAGTATTTGCCTTTTTGCATCTAGCTTATTTCACTTAGCTAAATGTTCTCAAGTTCATCCATTCTTTAGCATGTATCAGAACTTCATTCCTTTTAATGGTTGAAATAGCATTCCACATATATACATGTATACATACACACACATATACGTATATACATGTATGTTTGTGTATATATACATATATATAAATATATTTTATTCATTCCATTGTTATTCCTACCTTGTTACCATAAATAATGCATAAAAAAAGGATAAGCATTCTTTTTTTTAAAAATAGATTTTAAATATTTGTTTTTTGGCAGTACTGGGGTTTGAACTCAGGGCCTCATGCTTGTTTGGTAGGTGCTCTTACTGCTTGAGCCACTCTACCATCCCCAAGAACATTCTTGTAGAAGTATCCAAGCCCTTGTTTTCAATTCTTTTGGGTATAATAGTTAGGAGTTAAATTATTGGATCATATAATAATTCTATGTTTAGTTTTTAAGGAACCACCAAACTGTTTTCCACAGTGGCTACCATTTACATATGCTAGGATTCCAATTCTTCATGGAATACTATTTTTAAAAGGATTATTAAAGCTTGAAATGTTTATCTTTTCTTTGTTAATGTCATGAAATCAGCTACTGCTCTTGAAAAAAATTTGAAGAATTTTCTTAATGCACAGATTTAGACTGTTTAATTAAAAAATACGCAGAAGGAGGACTGGTGGCATGGTTCATACATCTAATTCCAGCTACTTGGGAGACGGAGATTAGGAGGATTGAGGTTTGAGGGCAGCCCAGGTAAAAATCCAACATCCTATCTGAAAAATAACTAAAACAAAAAGGGCTGGGGGTGTGATTCAAGTGGTAGAGCACCTGCTTAGCACCACCAAAAAAGAATAAGTGGAAGGAAGCTAAGCATGGTGGTATACCCCTGTAATCTCTCCACATGGGAAGGTGAGGCAGGAGGATCACAAGTTCAAGAATAATCTCAGCTACATAGCTGGACCCTGTATCAAAAAAAAAAAAAATCTTAAAAAAAATAAGTACGTAGAAGGAAAAAGTCAACCCATGAAAATGTCATCAGTATAAGTATTTTCTCTTTTCAGAACCTGCCCACAGTGAAATGCCTTTGGTTTTCCTTACCATTTTATTGGCAGTGCCATTATAAAGTGTCTTATGACATGTCTATTAATGTGTCTTTATTTAAACCTTGAATTAATCTTTGACTTTTTATGTCAAGCCATATATACTAAAAATGAGCCCTAAGTTAGAGGACTTAATGCCTCCTAGAGCTTCCTAATTCCCCTGTTGTTTCTACCCATGTTTCTTGTATATAATAAGCATGTGCAAAGAGGTTTGAAATATTTAGAAGCATACTTTCTCCCATAACAGTTAGAGGTGATTTGAAAACTGCTACAACATTTTTTATAGGTAAGGGCATACTTTAATGTGTAATCCTTACATTTCAATCTTTAGTAATTATATTTAATAAATCTAACATTGTGAACTGGTGGTTTTGTGAGTTAGTCAGCTACTTCATTAATTTGAGATAATGTTCAAATAATTTGCTTTCCCTTTTTGGAAAAAGTTCTATCATATTAGAAAGTAATTCCTAATTGACCATTGGTTGAGGAATATAAATCTTTGTTGTTTCAAAAATAAATGTCCTTCTTGCCTTCACAGAAAATAAGTGAATTTGGCCATAAGGCCACAGGTTATTTTGTTTAAATCAGTTAGATTTTTCTGATTCTTAAAATGTCTGAAGAAGCTGAATTTTGTTGCTGCCATTTTTATTGTTTTTATAAGCATCAGCTTTTCTCGTTACAGCTGAAGCCTGATGTGTTTTATGTATTTTCTACAATAGCTAGTTTTTTTCCTACTATAGCAAATATCAAGCAGTTTCTCCTTAAAGAGGAGGCTATGACGGTTTTAGTAGTTTCATCAGGGCAAAATCATTTTGTTTATCTTATGCTGGACTGCAGTAAGATGTGAAACCTTGTGACTTGGCATATATTCAAATCAGTCCTGGACTGATTTTACAGATACTCAATGTGATGTGTTTAGGAATTCTAACTCAAAAGAAGTACAGACTTTTAGAACTGAAAGTGAAATATAGATCTAGTCAATTCTATTGATTTATAAAATTCGAGGCCTGAGAGAGGAAATTTATGCAATTTAATTTACTTCCTTACCAAATATTTCCTGAGTACCTGCCAAGTTCCATATTCTGTACCAGGTGATGGGGATACAGTAAAAGCAAAGCAGAAACAGTTTCTCCTTACAAGGATCAGACAGTGTATTAGTATGGAATGTGTGGTGATCTGGCCTCTGCCACCTTTACCTTCACTGCCAGGGTTGACTAGCCTATTTACTTGCTGATGTAGGTGGGTCTTGCTTCTCTTAACATGTCTTTCAAATCTGCAGGATCCATCTAGGGAATGACTAACCTAATAAGGCCTGTGAATGAGGCTAAAGCCTTATTATTGTGAGAGTAAAACTGGACTTGTTCACAGGGCAGGATACCTTCTTTTTTTAAAACCACAGTGTGCTGAGTTGCATGTCTTTTGCCTACCATTCTTTCTTCATAGTTTTGAGGACATTATAAAAATCAGCATATGTAATGCAACAGAAGTTTTACATCAGTTTTTTAGACTTGATTTCTTAAGAAAGTTAAGAAGGTGAATATGGTTAATACACTCTCTGTACAAGAATGAATATAAAATTTTTAAACCTGTTGAAATCACCATAAGAAGGGGACTAAGATAGAAAGAAGAAAAATGGAGGACATGAATCAATTCGGGTTATAATACACATATATATGGAAATGTTACAAGGAAACTTTTTTTTTCTTTTACAAAATTGGTGAACAGGAGGATGGAATAGGTCTGTGAGGGGGTAGGGGGTGGGATATGGGGAAAGAGTGGATGGGTGAATATGGTGCAAATACTGTGTACACATGTATGGAAATGGAAAAATGAGACCTGTTTAAACTACTTGAGGAATGGGGGTAGAGAGGGATAAAGCAGAATGATGGAGTGGGTGAATTCAAGTATGATATAGTTGATATATTGCAGGAACTTTTGTAAATGCCACAATGTACCTCCCCAGCACAATAATAAAAAATTTTCTCTTTTTTTGAAAAAATTCAAAACTTTCTTTTAATTTATAAAATTCATCAAAGGGTAAGTGACCCAGTACTATCTATAATTGAAATTATTTTCATCAAAAGTTAGTTCTTTATAAGATTTAGATGTTTTCTTAGGCAAAACCTTGTTATATTTTATTTTCCTGCAAATAGCAGGTCACTGGAAAGCAGTGTAGTATGGTGGCTAAGAGCAGAACTTTGGAAACCCACTAACTTGGGTTTCAACCTCAACTTTGCCTTGTCCAGGTCTCTCTCTCTCTCTCTCTCTCTCTCTCTCTCTCTCTCTGTCTCTCTCTCTCTCTCTCTGTCTCTCTCTCTCTCTCCATGTGTGTGTGAGAGAGAGAGATTGATCTTGAACATGTTAATGAATTTCGTTAAACTTCAGTTTTTACATATATAAAATGAAGATAAATACTGTATCATCAGCCTCATGAGATTGATGACACTCAAGTGAGAGCTACTTATGTCAGCATTAGGCACCACAGCTACTTACCTCTGCCAGAGTTTACACTTCACCAGGGCAGGGACTTTTGTTTTACTTGATTTTTTATTTCTAGCACTTAGAATCATGCCTGATACATAGAAGGTAAATAATAAGTCTTTGCTGAGCATGGGACACACTCCTATAATACAAGTACTTAGGAGGCCAAGGCAAGAGGATTGTAAGATCAAAGCCAGCCTAGGTTACAAAGAGTCCTATGCCAGCCTGGGCTAGGAC